TTTCGGGAATTTCCGCACTTTTACATTTATATTTTGGCCATATCTTGAGTATAGAGGTGAGCAGTTTTTCAGCGCAACTCCTCATAAACCGCTGTACACAATTTCGTCAAACTTTGCAGATATTTAGGACACAATGTGCATAGATGTGCATATTACAAGGAACTTACGATTCCTTTATTTTTTTTCTGGGAATTTCAGCACTTCGACTTTTGGGGGAGCGGGTATGTGAACGTGCTCACTTTTTCTTTCATAGTGCATAGAATTATAAATAACTTTAAATCAAATTATATTAGGTCTAATAAAGCCAATACACAGTATTTATTTGATGATAATTGATCATAAAGAAATCCAATCTGTTTCAGACGTTTTTCTTACATTATTTTTATGAGAGTGTTATGCATGTTTTATCAGCCCCCCCCCCCCCCCCCTTCATATCACGGGAAAATATCTTCAAAAGGTGAATGATTCGTACAAATGTAATAATGCCTGCTTTTTTATGAATTTGATGAAGTTAAACCATGTACTTAATCGTAAATTTTATTCACAATATGTACAGACAAGAGTAATGTTTATTTTTGAAAAAAATACTTCTTCAATCAACCCCACTGAGCTTTCAAACTTTGATATTTTCCCTGACCAAATAAAATGATCGGCATGGGCCACGTGTATCCAAGCATCTTTTACTGTTGAGTTAGCAATGGATTACATGACTTCTGAGATGCATTTTTCAATAAAAGTAAAATAGGATAATTTTTTCGACATGTGCACATCCCTGTAACGATAGCAGTAGTCAGGTAAATGTTTTTATCACTGCGTTTGACGCGTTTTCTCGACCTGCATGGGTGTTTGATGTACATGTATGTATTCCGTGTTAGATTATTTTCTATATTGCAGCAAATGCATTCAAAAATAATTTAATTCTCGGTATAGTTCTATTTTTTGTTGAATTTTTACTTTTCAAACATGTATTTGGTCAGTTTATGGACTTCTAAAAACTTTGTTATCGGAGATGTGTACATGTCGACAGTCAGGCTAGAAAATCACTCAAGTGAAGCAATCGTACAAGGCTATTTATAGCAGGTACAGGTGACCAAAAATTTTCAATTAAATATGGCGGAATCGAAGAAATATGGCGGACAAAGGCGTACAGGAATGTAGTAAGTCGTACAAAGATGAAAAATGATGGCTTTATAAGAGTTCATGTCAGCTTTAATAATTGATTTATCACAAAATTTTTTTTTATTTCCTTCTCCTTCGGGACTTTTTTATTCTCATGTTCATAACTAAACCTAAACATAAAAAAAAATGCTGGCCTTATAATGAAGAAAGGGGCCTATTTCAAAATAGATAATTTCAGGGCCGCTGGGTCAGGGGTACCAGGGGGGTACTTTGACTAAAAATAAATTAATGCTTTGAAATCTGCCCTTTGATAAGCAATGGTGTCTCCTTCAAAATTTGTGATTTTCATGGCTTTTGGATTAAAACACGAGCCAAATACAATTGCTGGAAAGTTATTACATGATACTCAGGTGACCTATAAGGCCCGTGGGCCTCTTGTTTTTAACATGTTTGATAACGGAGAATATCTAGGTCAATCATCGGTTGATAATTTTTTCACTGATGAATTGATTATACTGTATCAACAACTGTAGTAAAATCATGTTAATTGTTCGTTAATTATCATATAGTTTCCTCTAAGAGAAAAAAATAATCATTCTGTGTGTGTAGTATATTAAATGACGGAATTTTCAATCCCTGAGCAGACTCCTGCACGTGTGTAGACAAAGTACACATCGGGAGAGTACCTGTAAAATGTAACAAAACCCGAACTGGCCGGGGATTTCTAAACTGACAATCGTTTAATTTTTATGAATCAGAATTTGTATTCATGTGATCTAATTATGAAAAAAAGTTCTGTCTGCCATCGTAACTTCTCTGTTCGCGGGAGTCCGTTTGACAACTCCATCGCACGTGTGTATAGACCAAGGCTAACTGTCTTGTGGACATAGGTATGTGTACTGTTTGTTAGCATGGTTAGGAGACGGGTGACCGTAATGCTACGGACTCACGAAATTTCCACAAGTTCTATAACTAGACAGTGCAGTTTTATTTTTATAAACGTCATTAAACACTGTTAAACATATTAAATCTAAAAGTCGAATATCTTTGGATATGGGGTAACCCATATCTATTCTTGTTTTCATTTAGTTTGAAAGACCTTGTGAGATTGTAACATTTATGTCCATTTTTCCTAGGGGGTACTACAACATAGTAATGTTTCACAAAAAATAAACACCTAAATATTTAATGTATAGATGCATGATACGTGTACATGTACATTATAGAATAGAAGATTGGAATTGATTTCGCTCTAGAACCAAACTGAACCAAAATTTATTTAATTCAAAATTTTAATACATCAGTACATAAAACGAAACTGACAAAATAAAAGATTGTTTGCATGAAAAAAAAAATAACGCCCTATGCCAGGCTTGAACCAAAAACTTTTCCCATCTCACGCATTGAACAGGTACCCAACTTACTGAGCTATCACGCTTCACATGTACAAATGATTTAAAAAAGGACAAAGAAGCACCACATTCAAACATTTAGATTTTTTGGGAAAAACTTCATTTTTCGTGGTCTCTGGGTCTTCTCTCCATTTTTTAAAAGTGCTTATTCGTTTCTTTGAATTAAAATACACACAAATAATATTTCAAAATCATGGAGAGAGGACCCAGAGATAGAATTTTTTTGGAAAAACGTGTTTAAAAATGTACCACTTTGTACCAAATGTCTGATCTGGCCAATTTTCAAGTTATTTTTTAGCAAATCAAAGCTAAATTTCGGGAAAATATTTTCCTTTCCTTTTGCACAGGAACCCAATAAATTGAAAAAATGTTAAAATTTCATGTGACATGTCGATAAAATTTTCACTTTTCAATTACGCCCAGATTCCTGCCGAATGCCAATCAAAAGCACCCTCGTTCTTTAAAGTAGATTATGAAAATCAGGTTTCCTTATTTTTTGTACGTTTTTTGTTAATTTCGACCCCAGGGCAGGGGTGCCCTTAAAAAAATCTTATCTTAAATTATTCCTCACATCCTAACCTATCAAAATACCACAATTTTATTTAGGGGCAGGCCTGCCCTGAAGGACTTCAAGGCCAAAATTCATACAAAAATCAACGCTTTAACGGACAAAATGGTGTTTCGGTCAACTTTGGAGGTTTATTGTAAAGTTGTAAAAATAAATTTTAGGTATAAAATACAAATTTGAAAAATTTAGACATATATATGATAGAAAACAACAAATAAAGATTGATTTTTAAATGTCACTTTTTCCGGGAAATTGTTCTCTCCTATAGGTCAATTCTTTTGTTAAAGTGAATACATCCTTTGGTATGTTCCCATTACACACAAAGATTGCTCATGACCTTAGGGTATCTTTCTTATGGATAAACTTGGTAAGTTCCTGTTTCACACAAAGATTGCTCATGACCTGAGGGTGTGTCATGACCTTGACTCAAGGTCATCTGTGCAAGTTCAAGGTCACTGAAATTTTTTTTATAATTCATGTTTGGTACATATCTTTATTATGGTAAAACTTGAATCTACTACTTCACACAAAGATTGCTCATGACCTTAAGGTGTGTCATGACCTTGACCCAAGGTCGTTTGGGGAAGTTCAAGGTCATTGGAAGAAAAAAAATTTGATAATTCATGTACGGTCCATATCTTGCTTATGGATAAACTTGGTAAGTCTTATTTCACACAAAGATTCCTCATGACCTAAGGGTGTGTCATGACCTTGATGCAAGGTCATCTATGCAAGTTCGAGGTCATTGAAAGAAAAAGTTCATAATTCATGTTTGTTACATATCTTTCTTATGGAAAAAATTTGGTAAGTGCCTGTTTTACACAAAGATTGCTTATGTCTTGAGGGTGTGTAGTGACCTTGACCCAAGGTCATTTGTGCAAGTTTGAGGACACTGAAAGGAAAAAGTTCATAATCAATATTCGGTCCATATCTGTCTAATGGATAAATGTGGTGAATTCCCATTTTACACAAAGATTGCTTATAACATGAGGTTGTGTCATGACTTTGAACCAAGGTCATTTATGCAAGTCCAAGGTCACTGACAGAAAAAGTTCAGAATTTGTGTCTGGTCTGTATCTTTAGTCTTAATTTTTTTTTTATTAGGCTGCACCTTAGTTTCATTCATAAAATGTATAATGAGCAATTGCATTGCACTAAAAATGTTTTAGCATTTCTCTCTTCTCTTAGATCCATAAAATATTCATGATTTGGCACCTCTGAAAAACCCTGCGGGGGTATTTTGTCCCGTTTGGACAGTTCTAGTTTTCAACAGCCTTCAATTTTACAAGTGTCTTTCCTTAGGATAGAAAGTCTTTTAATAAAAGACATAAATGACATGTTTTATGACTTTGGTATAATAAATTTAATTGGCTATTGTCAACATACCGCGTACCTGGCCATTTTTTCTGTGTTTGTGATCTTAGCTGCACATTCCAATCCCGACCTTTATTAAATTTGCATCATGCTTGATTTTTTCCAAACAGTCATCTGGACTGACATTTTCTTAAAAGTTATCAGTCCAGACAAATTTTTATCGGTCTTGCCGACAGGACCGACAGATTTCGACAAGTCTGAAATTGATTCCTTCAAGCCATTTTGCACATAAATAATTTGAATAGATTAAGTAAAAGGAAGCATAAAACAACAGTGGAATGTGTTTCCTTCTATCAAAATGTATAATAGTAAAAACTAATCGAACCGAGACCAAATTTTACGATATGTATCGAACCGTGAAGGAGGCGTATTGTTTCACCCCTACAATGTGGTTATATCCTTACAAAATAGTTAATTATGTCAAGTGATTATGTGTCCTTATTTTAAAAACAAATGAATTCCATTTTTGAAATTAATTTTTTGATAAAATTATAGACTTAAGCTGGAGTTGTTTTTTTTACTTTCAGAACAAACCCTTGATTCTATAGTTATTGTCAGTGATCCAGTGAAATCCAAGCAAGGAGCCAACTTTCCCATAGAGCCGTACGTGGTGTTAGAATTACAAGATGCAGCGGGACGGAGAATCTTCTCTGGACAAGATTCGAGTTTGGTAAAATTTATTTTCATTGCTCTCTGGTCATCGCAAGACATGGTCCCAAGTCCACATTTAGCTCTCTCCTATCTGTGGCTGTTTGTTCAAAAGTTCCGTGATCTTGAATGATTATATCTCTATGCTGTAATGTCATGTTCAGCCAATGAAATTAATTGTTTCTATTGCAATTAAAAAAATCAACTATTGGCATGAACAGTAAACAAGAAAGGTCTGACTCTAAACTGCGATGGGGTAGTGAAATTTCCTGTCAAGAGTTCATTTTCGGACTATTCTTTATTTGCATTGGTCTATATTTTAATGGAAGAGGATCATACATAGTGATATAAAATTGGGAAAAAAATGCAAATCGATTATCTGTAATAATTGGCTGGGCATAATCGTTTATAATAGAAATTTTTAACTTAAGGATATTTGATCCTCAGCCTCTGCCAGGAAGGATAACTCCAAAAATTAATATTTAATTTAAAAAGCATCAATATGAGGCTTGAAAAGGAAAACTTTTCATGCAACAATTTTCATCTTATTCATCTTTATATGATTCAAGGTTCATAGAAGTCTTAGAAAAGATCTTATAAAAAGTTGACATTTGTACCTCATAAAATGAAAAAAATAAACAGTTTTAGAGTAGTAAGATTTTCTGGAATCGAGCCTTAGATACCAATGCTTATCATCAAGATATGAAATAAGTGATTTGTGATGTCTTGCAATGATAGCAAAAGCCTTTTACATTATGTATTATATAATACATGAAGGAAATAGAAGACAAAGAAAAACATATAAGTATAAAAATCACAACAAGTTCTCCGAATGCCTGGATACCTATTGTTTTTTTTACCTAAAATATATTTGTTGATCAATTTGCAATGAGAAAACGCACAGCTGATATTCCTATTCGCTTTTTCTGTATATTGGAGATTTGACAATTTTTCCAATGAAATATAATTAACTTGAATGTTTAACGTTAAAGAAATACTGTGGGTAAATTTACATTACTTTGTGGATTCAGAGATACTGCAGGAGTACTTTTTTCCGTGTGGTATTAATTAACGCTATGTACACGGTCACAATGTAGACTGTGTAAACTGTAGGGAGCGTAACTATTAAATGTGTAGCAAAACCCGAACCAGGCCGGATATTTCTACATGTTGAAGCTCAGCATATTATTATATATTTATAGAATTTGAATTATATAAGTAAGTTACGTGACGAATACATTAGTATATTTAGTAATTTTCCAAAAAGCAAAAAAGGTTTTCAGTTTCGAATTTCCCGGCCTGGCCCTAATTTTCGTAACCCATTTTAAACACACTTTGTTGCGGATGCAAATGTTAGAATAAATGTTAGAACAAAATATAGTTCCGCAGAGATTGTGTATATAATCATAATTCATATTCATACGATCTTATTAAGTATAATGTTGCTAAATGAATTTTCTGGTATGTAATCAAATATAAAGTTCAATGTTTAAATTGTGAAGAAAAAAAGTTCACCAGATTTCTGTGCAAGTAAAGCGTCATTTTACCACCAAATGCCAAGCTACGGTGATGAACTAGGTCTATATTTTCTTGTTGAAAATTCAAGTAAATTGAAAAGTTGAATTCTAATTAATCCAGAATGGTTATACAACAGCGGACCTGCCATCTTAACTTCTCGGCAAAACAAACTTGTTTCTTCGAGCTCGCTAGATGTGTTTGATAATCTCATCGCACATGTGTAGACCAAAGCTAACTGGTTTTGTAGGCACAGGTATGTGCAGTGTTTGCTAGGAGACTGGGTGACTAATGCTACTGACTCATGAACTGTACACCAGCTTCATAACAAGACAGTGCAGTTTTTAGGTCACCTGAGTAAACTCAGGTGACCTATTGCTATCTGTTTTCGTCCGTCGTCGTGCGTCGTCCGTCGTGCGTTAACATTTGAACATTTTCAGCTTCTTCTCTGCAACCACTGAACCAATTTCAACCAAATTTGGCACAAAGCATCTATGGGTGAAGGGGAACAAAAATTGTGAATTTCATGATCCCTGCCCCCCTGGGGCCTGAGGGGTGGGGCCAAAACCACTAAAATTAATGCAATCTTTAAAAATCTTCTTCTTTACTCCTGGACATCAAGCAGTCAAACTGTTTGCATGATTGTAATCAGCAATAAGTCCTCTACCAAAATTGTGAAATTCATGGCCCTGGGGTCAGGGGTTCTAGTGCTAGGGCGGGGCTAAATAAGTAGGTAGTGAAAATACATAATTTCTTTGAAAATCTTCTTCTCTGCTCCTAGGTATTAAATAAACCAACTAAGTACATAGTTATGATGAGCAAGAGTGCCTCTACCAAAATTGGGAATTTTATGGCCCCAGGGTCAGGGGTTCTTGTTTTAGGGTGGGGCTCTAATGATGATATAGTGAAATGCATGAATTCTTTGAACATCTTATCCTTTGCTCCTGGTTAGTATACTAATGATCTAATTACATATTTAAGGTGGCCAGGATTTATTTTATTTTCAGTTTTACAAACCCTCCGCTCAAGGTTTTGAATTTTCAGAAAAAAATTAAACATTTTTTTTCTTTCCGATGTCAAATTTGAGTCGGGATCGAGATTTCAAATTTACGAACTCGCACTTCCGGTTTTAAGATGAAATGGCGGGTAAATAAAGCTAGATCTGAGAAGATAGCTTGGTTTAGTGTAAAATTCATCGATAAGAGTGCCATTCAAAACGTTTCACCCGTTCAAAGGACAAATAAAATGCTGACGACTTTGTTGCACAATGACATGCTGGTGAGATAATTATGTATTCGTTTCAAAAGTATCTGTAAATTATCCCCCCCCCCCCAGGTTTTAAACTGCCCATGGTAGCTATTGCATATTGCCAGCGACATTGTTTAGGTCTCTGTTATAGCTTACAGTCTAAGCATCATTCTTGCTTATGCATCAGATGTAAATGAATAAAACTTTGGGAGAAGTTAAGTCCATTTGAGGAAGAAATAAACAATAACTTGTAGAAATAAAAAAAATTCAACTATTAAAAGGCAAGAATATACAAATATATACAGGCATGTAGTATCATTTGTATCAGCCAGAAAAATTATTTCACACTTAATTGAAAAAATGTTCACCCTACTCCCCAATACTCCCTGTCTGTTTTATGATAGGAATTTTAATCTTAGGCATCAAGTAAATTTTAGAACAATGTCTACACTATTGAAAGACTTTTTATATTACTGGCCCAAACTGGCAGATGATGAAATAAGCAATTAAATGTTCTACTTTCCTATTTGTAAGCATTATGTGTCCAGTGGTAAGGAGCCTATTAGAATAGCATAAAAAAAGAATGTACAAATGTTAATAATTGATTTATCAATATTTTTTCTTTTATTTCCTTCTCCTTCGAGACTTTTTTATTCTCATGTTCATAACTAAAGCCGAAGGCTCAAGTGAGCTTTTCTGATCACATTTTGTCCGTCGTCCGTCTGTCTGTCCGTCTGTAAACTTTTCACATTTTCGACTTCTTCTCAAGAACCACTGGGCCAATTTTGACCAAACTTGGTACAAAGCATCCTTGGGTGAAGGGGAATTTAAATTGTTAAAAAGAAGGGCCAAGTCCCCTCACAAGGGGAGATAATCAAGAAAAGACAAAAATAGGGTGGGGTCATTAAAAAATCTTCTTCTCAAGAACCACTGGGCCAGAAAAGCTGAAACTTATGTGGAAGCATCCTGGGGTAGTGTAGATTCTAAATTGTTCAAATCATGACCCCAGGGGGTAGGGCGGGGCCACAATGGGGAATCCAAGTTTTACATAGAAATATATAGGAAAAATCTTTGAAAATCTTCTTCTCAAGAACCACTGGGCCAGAAAAGCTGAAACTTATGTGGAAGCATCCTTGGGTAGTGTAAATTCTAAATTGTTCAAATCATGACCCCAAGGGGTAGGGCGGGGCCACAATGGGGAATCCAAGTTTTACATAGAAATATATAGGAAAAATCTTTGAAAATCTTCTTCTCAAGAACCACTGGGCCCTTGGAGCTGAAACTTATGTGGAAGCATCCTGGGGTAGTGTAGATTCTAAATTGTTCAATTCATGACCCCTGGGGGTAGGGCGGGGCCACAATGGGGAATCCAAGTTTTACATAGAAATCTTTGAAAAATCTTCTTCTCAAGAACCACTGGGCCCTTAGAGCTGAAACTTATGTGGAAGCATCCTGGGGTAGTGTAGATTCTAAATTGTTCAATTCATGACCCCTGGGGGTAGGGCGGGGCCACAATGAGGAATCCAAGTTTTACATAGAAATATATAGGAAAAATCTTTGAAAATCTTCTTCTCAAGAACCACAGGGCCCTTGGTGCTGAAACTTATGTGGAAGCATCCTGGGGTAGTGCAGATTCTAAATTGTTAAAATCATGACCCCAGGGGGTAGGGTGGGGCCACAATGAGAAATCCAAGTTTTACATAGAAATATATAAGAAAAATCTTTGAAAATCTTCTTCTCAAGAACCACTGGGCCAGAAAAGCTGAAACTTATGTGGAAGCATCCTGGGGTAGTGTAGATTCTAAATTGTTCAAATCATGACCCCCGGGGTAGGGCGGGGCCACAATGGGAAATCCAAGTTTCACATAGAAATATATAGAAAAAATCTTTGAAAATCTTCTTCTCAAGAACCACTGGGCCAAAAAGCTAAAACTTATGTGCACATGGAAGCATCCTGGGGTAGTGTAGATTTCAAAATGTCTAAATTATGATCAGTGGGGTAGGGTGAGGTCGCAGTATGTATTTAAAGGGGGAAATCTGGTAAAGAACAGAATGGTCAAAGCTTCTCAGGTGAGCGATGGGGCCCATGGGCTTCTTGTTTATAGAAGTCATTAAACACTCTTAAATCTAAAAGTTGAATATCTTTGGATATGGGGTAACCCATATCTATACTTGTTATGAGTATTTTTTATTTGAGTACTTAACTTCTTATTTTATGAACCTGAGGATAAGACTACCTTAAATGAAATAAATATAGATAAGTTAAACTTATTCAGATTTCAGTTAGACTTTTATTAAAAAATCATTTAATTAATACATAATTCAAAAATGCTCAAAATTCTTTTAATGAAGTAGAAAATAAAATTTCTTTACTTACAAAAAATCAATGTATTGAATCAGAATGGGAACTTATTTTCAAAAATCATTACTTTTAAACTCTTTGCACTTGGTTTTGGTAGTAAAATTAAAGTATGATAATCTTTTTTTATGTCATTGATGTTGGTGACGTTATTTTTAAATTGATTAGTAGCATCAAAGAGCTCCTAACGGCCAACAGTAGATTGTTGGCGACAATTGTTCTATCACTTATCATACACCCCTACTCAGATATATATGTCTATTACAGTAAACAGATGACAATTGTGTCTCTCTATGTTGCAGACAATAAATGTGGCTGCCAGTGATAATTCTGCCTGTTTGTCAACTGATTCAGCAACATTGGTGGCAAAAGATGGCAGAGCAATATTTGTCGGGTCTTTCTGTGCTCCAATATCAAATGTGTCACTGTCTTTTTCAACAACAAGTGCAATATCAGCAAACTTAGTGACAAGTGGTTCAACAGCAACATTTGAAGTCACAGGTAAAAGAATAAAATTGTGTAACATCAACAACAATCAATTTTAGGTGGTTTGAAAATTTGTCATGCTTCCAGTTGATTGCAAAGGGGACTTTAGCCAAAGTTCTTACATGTTTTGGATTAAAGATCTCCCACCCTAAATTAGGGTTGCTAAGGAGAAATTCATGATTTTTAAGCTCTACTGGCCAGAAACCAGAAGAGGTTACCAATTACAGCCCTTAGTCATCCCCAACCAATAACATACGTTAGTCACCCCCAACCAATTACAGTGGACCCTCATTTATCCGGACGCTTTGGTTCTTAGTCATTTGTCCGGATATGTGAAGCGTCCGGATATCTGAATTACCTGTTAAACAAAACAAAATAACATAAAAAAATTCTGTTCCCATGAAAAATCGTCCGGATACTGAAGCATCCAGATATCTGAAGGTCCACTGTACATCCCTTAGTCACCCTCAACCAGTTACAGCCCTTAGTCACCCCCTACCGATTACATCCCTTAGTCACCCCCAACCAATTACATCCCTTAGTCACTCCCAACCAATTACATCCCTTAGTCACCCTCAACCAGTTACAGTCCTTAGTCACCTCAATCAGTTACTGCCCTTAGTCACCCTCAACCAGTTACAGCCCTTAGTCACCTCAACCAGTTACAGCCCTTAGTCACCTCAACCAGTTACATCCCTTAGTCACCCCAACCAATTACATCCCTTAGTCACCCTCAACCAGTTACTGCCCTTAATCACCTCAACCAGTTACTGCCCTTAGTCACCCCAACCAATTACATCCCTAAGTCACCCCCAACCAATTACATCCCTTAGTCACCCCCAACCAATTACATCCCTTAAGTCACCCTCAACCAGTTACTGCCCTTAGTCACCTCAACCAGTTACAGCCCTTAGTCACCCCCAACCAGTTACAGCCCTTAATCACCCTCAACCAGTTACTGCCCTTAGTCACCTCAACCAGTTACAGCCCTTAGTCACCCCCAACCAGTTACAGCCCTTAGTCACCTCAACCAGTTACTGCCCTTAGTCACCCTCAATCAGTTACAGCCCTTAGTCACCTCAACCAGTTACAGCCCTTAGTCACCCCCCAACCAGTTACAGCCCTTAGTCACCCCCAACCAGTTACAGCCCTTAGTCACCTCAACCAGTTACAGCCCTTAGTCACCCCCAACCAGTTACTGCCCTTAGTCACCCCCAACCAGTTACAGCCCTTAGTCACCTCAACCAGTTACTGCCCTTAGTCACCCCAACCAATTACAGTCCTTAGTCACCCCAACCAGTTACATCCCTTAGTCACCCCCAACCAGTTACAGCCCTTAGTCACCTCAACCAGTTACTGCCCTTAGTCATCCCAACCAATTACATCCGTTAGTCACCCCCAACCAATTACAGTCCTTAGTCACCCCAACCAATTACATCCCTTAGTCACCCTCAACCAGTTACTGCCCTTAGTCACCTCAACCAGTTACAGCCCTTAGTCACCTCAACCAGTTACAGCCCTTAGTCACCTCAAACAGTTACTGCCCTTAGTCACCCCCAACCAATTACTGCCCTTAGTCACCTCCAACCAATTACATCCCTTAGTCACCCCAACCAATTACATCCCTTAGTCACCCACAACCAATTACATCCCTTAGTCACCTCCAACCAATTACAGTCCTTAGTCACCCCCAACCAATTACATCCCTTAGTCACCTCCAACCAATTACAGTCCTTAGTCACCCTCAACTAGTTACATCCCCCCTTAGTCACCCCCAACCAATTACATCCCTTCGTCACCCTGAACCAGTTACAGCCTTTAGTCACCCCAACCAATTACATCCCTCAGTCACCCCCAACCAATTATATCCCTTAGTCACCCCCAACCAATTACAGCCCTTAGTCACCCCCAACCAGTTACCGCCCTTAGTCACCCTGAATTATTTACAGCCTTTAGTCACCCCAATCAATTACATCCCTTAGTCACCCCAACCAGTTACATCCCCCCTTAGTCACCCAACCAGTTACAGCCCTTAGGCACAATCCTCTATTAATAGGGAAGAGATGGTTAAATCTGAGAGGGATTAATAAGTGTAATGACTTTCTCTTTCAGATGATGTATACTTAGGCAATTACATAGATTACTATTCTTCTGGATCCACCTCTGATACTGGACCAAACATAGATTCTTTTGTCTGGCATGCACTGGAAGATATCAAAGCCAACATATACCCTCATCTCTTACCAGGTAACTGTTATTTTCTTTATTCATTAGTAAGGGCAATTCCATTAAAAATTATCTGAGTGGGTGAAAGGGGATGACATTTTTTAAATGTTTAAAAATGTTCAATTTTTTCTGTTGACTTTGGTGATGGATGTTTGTGTGTTTTTATTGTGTAATCTTTAACAATAAATTGGCACAGTTCAAAAATGGTTATTGGTCGTGCATTTACTTTTAGCCAATTTTACAGGGCTGCCTTGTTAAACATGACATGCCCAGTTCTTCGAAAATATTCCAATCTTGGATTTGAAGTTATTTTTCCTCTCTCTTAATTAATTTAATTAACAAGTGCAATATGTATTCAATGTTCAGTTAGGCCTACACTATCTTTGATGAATTCATTTTATTAGCTCTCCTGAGCTGAAGGCTCAAATGAGCTTTTCTGATCACATTTTGTCTGACGTCTGTCTGTCCGTCTGTGTGGAAACTTTTCACATTTTCAACTTCTTCTCAAAAACCACTGGGCCAATTTCAACCAAACTTGCCATAAAGTATCGCCATAAAGTATCCTTGGATGAAGGGAATTCAAGTTTGATAAAGTGAAGGGCCACACCCCATTCCAAGGTGAGATAATTAAAAATTAGTGAAAAATTAATGGCATCTTTTAAAATCTTCTTCTCAAGAACCACTGGGACAGGAAAGATAAAACTTATATGGAAACATCCTCAGGTAGTGCAGATGCAAAGCTGTTCAAATCATTACCTCAGGGATAGGGCAGGGCCACAACTAATGATCAAAGTTTTACATTAAAGCAATATGTGGGAAAAAAAATCTTTAAAAATCTTCTTCTCAAGAACCATTGGGCCAGGAAAGATGAAACTTATATGGAAACATCCTCAGGTAGTTCAGACTCAAGATTTACATAGAAATATGTAGGAAAAATCTTTGAAAATCTTCCTCTCAAGAATCTCTGGGCCAGTAAAGATGAAACTTTTGTGAAAATATTCTCAGGAAGTGTAGATTCAAGTTTCTTAAAATCATGACCCTTGGGGTAAAGCGGGGCCACAATGGACAATTAAAGTTTTACATAAAAATGAATATATTAAATTTTTTAAAAATTCTTCTTTTTAAGACCACAAAGCCATGATTGGTTATATCTTTATGGAAGCATCCTTAGGTAGTGTTGATTCAAGTTTGTTCAATTCATGAAAGGGGGAGTAGGGGGAGGGGGGGGGGGGGCAATTGGAGATCAAAGTTATACCTAGAAATATCAAGGAAATTTTTTTTCCCCAAGAACAGAAAAGCCATGTTTATTCATATTGATATGGAGGCATCCTCAGGTAGCACCAAGTCATACGGGATCAAATGAGGGCCCCAGGGGTAGGGCTTGGCCTTAATGTGGGGTGTCAAATGAATAAAAGGAAAAATATCATCTGCTCAGAAACAGCAAAGCCATTTGTTATATTAATAAGGAAGCATCATCAGGTATTTTAAAATTCAAGTGCCCCCTTTCATATAAACTTCTCAATACTGAAGCGATTTTTACTTTTTTTTCCCTAGCCAATGTGTTCAGGTGAGTGATGTGGCCCATGGGCTTCTTGTTTAATGAAAGTTATTTTCCAAGATTTGTTGATATGTCTGTCTGTCCGTCTGTCTGTAAACAATTTTTCAAAATGCTACTCCTCCTACAGTTTTAGTCTGATTTCAATATAACTTGGCACACAAGTAGACTACACTAAGATACACAATTCGGTATATCGGTTTTCGATTTTTGTAAACGGTGTTGCTGTGTTTATTAAAAATAGAAATTTCTGTAAAATTGTTTCAAAATGCTACTCCTCCTACAGTTTTGGTCTGATTTCAATATAACTTTTCTGGTCTTTCATTTTATTTTAAAAGTATTGCGATACGTACCGTATCATGAACTGGATTCCGTAATATGTATCGTATCATGGGGTAGGTGTATCGTTGCACCCCTTCACAAAAGGTTCTACACCAATAAGAGTAATGTGTGAGAGATCACAAAACAATGTCATGTGAATGATACAAAGTATGGACTTTAATCATCAAACGAGAAATACAGTTATTATATATATAACAACCGAAGGTGGAATTAATAATAGTGCTGTGCGATATTACCGGTTAACCGGTGTATCCCGATTTCGTTCTTCACAATACGTATCGCAGTATTTTTTAGCTCACCTGAGCCGAAGGCTCAAGTGAGCTTTTCTGATCAAAATTTGTCCGTCGTCTGTCGTTGTCGTTGTCGTAAACTTTTCACATTTTCATCTTCTTCTCAAGAACCACTGGGCCAATTTCAACCAAACTTGGCACAAAGTATCCGTTGGTGAAGGGGATTCAAGATTGTTCAAATGAAGGGCCACGCCCTCTTCCAAGGGGAGATAATTATGAATTAGTGAAAAATTAATAGCATTTTTAAAAAATCTTCTTCTCAAGAACCACTGGGCCAGGAAAGATGAAACTCATGTGGAATTATCCTCAGGTAGTGTAGATTCAAGTTTGTTCGAATCATGACCCCCGGGGCTAGGGTGGGGCCAAAATGGCCGACCAAAGTTTTACATAGGAATATATAGGAAAAATCTTTAAAAATCTTCTTCTTAAGAACCACTGGGCCAGAAAAGATGAAACTCATGTGGAATCATCCTCAGGTAGTGTAGATTCAAGTTTGTTCAAATCATGACCCCCGGGGCTAGGGTGGGGCCAAAATGGCCGACCAAAGTTTTACATAGGAATATATAGGAAAAATCTTTAAAAATCTTCTTCTTAAGAACCACTGGGCCAGGAAAGATGAAACTCATGTGGAATCATCCTCAGGTAATGTAGATTCAAGTTTGTTCAAATCATGACCCCCGGGGCTAGGGTGGGGCCAAAGTTGCCGACCAAAGTTTTACATAGGAATATATAGGAAAAATCTTTAAAAATCTTCTTCTTAAGAACCACTGGGCCAGGAAAGATGAAACTCATGTGAAATCATCCTCAGGTAGTGTAGATTCAAGTTTGTTCAAATCATGACCCCCTGGGCTAGGGTGGGGCCAAAATGGCCAACCAAAGTTTTACATAGGAATATATAGGAAAAATCTTTAAAAATCTTCTTCTTAAGAACCACTGGGCCAGGAAAGATGAAACTCATGTGGAATCATCCTCAGATAGTGTAGATTCAAGTTTGTTCAAATCATGACCCCCGGGGCTAGGGTGGGGCCAAAATGGCCAACCAAAGTTTTACATAGCAATATATAGGAAAAATCTTTAAAAATCTTCTTCTATAGAACCACTGGGCCAGGAAAGATGAAACTCATGTGGAATCATCCTCAGGTAGTGTAGATTCAAGTTTGTTCAAATCATGACCCCCGGGGCTAGGGTGGGGCCTAAATGGCCGACCAAAGTTTTACATAGGAATATATAGGAAAAATCTTTAAAAATCTTCTTCTTAAGAACCACTGGGCCAGGAAAGATGAAACTCATGTGGAATCATCCTCAGGTAGTGTAGATTCAAGTTTGTTCAAATCATGACCCCCGGGGCTAGGGTGGGGCCAAAATGGCCAACCAAAGTTTTACATAGGAATATATAGGAAAAATCTTTAAAAGTCTTCTTCTTAAGAACCACTGGGCCAGGAAAGATGAAACTCATGTGGAATCATCCTCAGGTAGTGTAGATTCAAGTTTATTCAAATCATGACCCCCGGGGCTAGGGTGGGGCCAAAGTTGCCGACCAAAGTTTTACATAGGAATATATAGGAAAAATCTTTAAAAATCTTCTTCTTAAGAACCACTGGGCCAGGAAAGATGAAACATCATCCTCAGGTAGTGTAGATTCAAGTTTGTTCAAATCATGACCCCCTGGGCTAGGGTGGGGCCAAAATGGCCAACCAAAGTTTTACATAGGAATATACAGCTTACTCCACTTATATTGAACTCGCTTATTTTGAAATTCCGCTTATTTTGAAATAGAAATAAATCCCCAGTTTTTGACTCTCATATTCTTTGCATTAAAATATATATATTGACATATATATTGACTATATTGAAATATTGTTTATATTGAAGTCACTGATCGGTCCCCACAGGTGATAATGAGTTGTTTTCATAACGGTTATATTGAAGTACTCCCTGGCGGCTGTCGTTACGGTTGGTGACAGTAATTATGCCTGATTGACCAGTTGATATACACAGTTGTGAATAATTAAGTTAACATTTTATGTCTTTTTATACTGCATGCTCTTACAAAATAAAATTCTTCACTGTTAAATTCTTTGCGTCCATGTAACGTTATGTAATACGGACACATCGAGAGTCAGACTAAATAGCTAAACCTAATAGTAACCCTCACAGATCTAGGAAAAAACACTTAACTTTGAGATGAAATAGTACTGTTAATGGCAATTGATATATGCCAAAATTCGAAATAACTAGGGATTAACCCGAGTACATTTACGACGAAATACAAGCAGCGGTCAGCAGTACTACAACCGTTTAAGTCCGGTGAATTTTCTCCAAAGCGTAAATAAATGCGATCGGGGAATATTAATGAGGTTGAAGTTTGTCTTTTCAATGAAACAGAAATAAAAAAAAATATTTAAACTTTCAAGGAATCATATTTTATGTAATCTGTTTACTGTTTAGATGAATGATAACAAAATTAATTTGTTCGGGTTTGTTCTCCATTATTTTAGATCAGGATTGAACTTGTAAAAATGGCGGCTTCACGATTTCGCTTATATTGAATTACGGATATATTGAAATAATTTGCATGGTCCCCTGAATTTCAATATATCCGGAGTAGGCTGTATAGGAAAAATCTTTAAAAATCTTCTTCTTAAGAACCACTGGGCCAGGAAAGATGAAACTCAAGTGGAATCATCCTCAGGTAGTGTAGATTCAAGTTTGTTCAAATCATGACCCCCGGGGCTAGGGTGGGGCCAAAATGGCCAACCAAAGTTTTACATAGCAATATATAGGAAAAATCTTTAAAAATCTTCTTCTTAAGAACCACTGGGCCAGGAAAGATG